ACTATAGTCATACTACAATCATATTACAGTCGTACTACAGCCATACTACAGTCGTACTACAATCCTACTATAGTCGTACTACAACCATATTACAGTCGCACTACAACCATATTACATTCGTACTACAATTCTACTATAGTCGTACTACAACCAAAATACAGTCGTACTACAATCCCACTATAGTCATACTACAACCATATTACATTCGTACTACAATCCTATTATAGTCGTACTACAACCATATTACAGTCGTACTACAACCATATTACATTCGTACTGCAATCCTACTATAGTCGTACTACAACCATATTACAGTCGTACTACAATCCTATTATAGTCGTACTACAACCATATTACAGTTGTACTGTAATTCTACTATAGTCGTACTACAACCATATTACAGTCGTTCCACATTCCTACTATAGTCGCACTACAACCATATTACATTCGTACTGTAATTATACTATAGTCGTACTACAACCATATTACAGTCGTACTACAACCATATTACATTCGTACTGCAATCCTACTATAGTCGTACTACAACCATATTACATTCGTACTACAACCATATTACATTTGTACTGCAATCCTACTATAGTCGTACTACAAACATATTACATTCGTACTACAACCATATTACATTCGTACTGTAATCCTACTATAGTCGTACTACAACCATATTACAGTCGTACTACAATCCTACTATAGTCATACTACAACCATATTACATTCCTACTGCATTCATACTATAGTCGTACTACAACCATATTACATTCGTACTACAATCCTATTATAGTCGTACTACAATCCTACTATACTCATGCTACAACCATATTACAGTCGTTCCACATTCCTACTATAGTCGCACTACAACCATATTACATTCATACTGTAATTATACTATAGTCGTACTACAACTATATTACAGTCGTACTACAACCATATTACATTCGTACTGCAATGCTACTATTGTCGTACTACAACCATATTACATTCGTACTATAACCATATTACATTCGTACTGCAATCATACTGTAGTCGTACTAGAACCATATTACATTCGTACTACAACCATATTACATTCGTACTGTAATCCTACTATAGTCGTACTACAACCATATTACAGTCATACTACAACTCTACTATAGTCGTACTACACCCATATTACATTCGTACTACAATTCTACTATAGTCGTACTACAACCAAAATACAGTCGTACTACAATCCCACTATAGTCATACTACAACCATATTACATTCGTACTACAATCCTATTATAGTCGTACTACAACCATATTACAGTCGTACTACAACCATATTACATTCGTACTGCAACCATATTACATTCGTACTGCAATCATACTGTAGTCGTACTAGAACCATATTACATTCGTACTACAACCATATTACATTCGTACTGTAATCCTACTATAGTCGTACTACAACCATATTACAGTCATACTACAACTCTACTATAGTCGTACTACACCCATATTACATTCGTACTACAATTCTACTATAGTCGTACTACAACCAAAATACAGTCGTACTACAATCCCACTATAGTCATACTACAACCATATTACATTCGTACTACAATCCTATTATAGTCGTACTACAACCATATTACAGTCGTACTACAACCATATTACATTCGTACTGCAATCCTACTATAGTCGTACTACAACCATATTACAGTCGTACTACAATCCTATTATAGTCGTACTACAACCATATTACAGTTGTACTGTAATTCTACTATAGTCGTACTACAACCATATTACAGTCGTTCTACAATCCTACTATAGTCGTACTACAACCATATTACATTCATACTGCAATCCTACTATAGTCGTACTACAACCATATTACAGTCGTACTACAATCCTATTATAGTCGTACTACAACCATATTACAGTTGTACTGTAATTCTACTATAGTCGTACTACAACCATATTACAGTCGTTCTACAATCCTACTATAGTCGTACTACAACCATATTACATTCGTACTGCAACCATATTACAGTCGTACTGCAATACTACTATTGTCATACTACAACCATATTACATTCGTACTGCAATCCTACTATAGTCGTACAACAACCATAATACTTTCGTACTGCAATCCTACTATAGTCGTACTACAACCATATTACAGTCGTACTACAATACTAATATAGTCATACTACAACCATATTACAGTCGTACTCCAATCCTATTATAGTTGTACTACAAACATATTACATTCGTACTGTAATTCTACTATAGTCATACTACAACCATATTACAGTCGTACTACAATACTAGTATACTCATACTACAACCATATTACTTTCGTACTACAATCCTATTATAGTCGTACTACAACCATATTACATTCGCACTGTAATTCTACTATAGTCGTACTACAACCATATTACAGGCGTAATACAACCATATTACATTCGTACCTCAATCCTACTATAGTCGTACTACAACTATATTACAGTCGTACTACAATGCTACTATAGTCGTACTACAACCATATTGCATTCGTACTGCAATCCCACTATAGTCGTACTACAACCATATTACAGGCGTAATACAACCATATTACATTCGTACCTCAATCCTACTATAGTCGTACTACAACTATATTACAGTCGTACTACAATCCTACTATAGTCGTACTACAACCATATTACAGTCGTTCTACATTCCTACTATAGTCGTACTGTAACACTTTATTATCATCACACCACATTCTAATAATATTTACCTTGGTTTTATGATCTAGTGAAATGCTACGTTCTTCTTTAGAATTCTCGGTATCTACAAACGAAAATTATTGACGTCATCGAAGAATCGAATTCGAGGTACTATAGTGAATATTGAACTACTTATAGGATATATTGGATACATATTCATGTTACAAGAACTCATATATGTAATTAACGATGACCGTTATAAGTCAATCGGAATGTAGCTAATTCACAGTTACCTATATCACGCCAGTATCTTTTTATCTTGTCTATACCGTGCAAATATATTGCTGATGGTACATCGCCAATGTAATCAGGGTTACCATCCAACCTTATATCTTTCAAGGCTGGCAGTTGTCCTAACTCTCGTGGTAACGACTCTAATTTATTGGAACATAAATTCAATGTTGTCAGCTTCTCAAGTGACTCTGTTGATAAATGCAAAGATCTATCACACAATCGTGAACACATATCATTCCTACCTACTGATTACTCCTTGTAATGTTACTGTACATTGTAGTTGTATTATGTTCTAACTTATAACTGTTTCATCAATACTTACCAATTTCTTTCGGAATTCTAGTTACTTCATTATGACTGAGATCTACGTCGAGCAATTCAACCAAATGGGCAATGGATGATGGTAATGCTGTCAGATAATTGTTGCTGGCCTTCAAAACCGTAAGCGTTTTGAGTTTAGATATTTCCTGTGGAATTTGCTTTATCGGATTGTTCTCAATATTGAGGTATGTTAACATACATAGTTGATGAATACCGTCAATAGATTTTATCTCATTGATAGAAATATTCAGTTGCTGCAGTTTCTCAAACATGCCGACATTTTCTCTAAATGAAGTCAATCTATTCTTACTGACATCTAACTTAGTAAGTTTGTATGAGTGATTGGTTTCATTTGTAATAATGCTGATACTATTATGTGAAAGATCAACCTCCTTTATATTCCCAATATCTGACGAAACCACTGACAATTGATTGTCACTGACATCAAGCATACTGAGCTTACTGAGATTCAAAATAATTGATGGTAACTCTGGAAATTTATTTCTTGACAAATTAAGTTCTTCTAAATCCGTAAGTTTTCCGACTTCCTCTGGTAAAGCTGACAAATAGTTGTTATGTAGATTTAGTTTCTTGAGGTGTGTGTACTGACTAATCATGGATGGGATGTAAACTAATTGTTTGGAACTGAGATCCATCTCTTCACAGGATTCACCATTTTTCTCCATCATACCTATAGTGCCATAGATTAGAAAAAACATGCAATTATTACATATTTATATAAAATTGTATCGAGTGGTCATTATCTGGCGAGTAACCGATAAGTCAGCTCTAGAAGTAATCGAATTTTGTTATCGGTAGTTCTAGAATTACCCGAGTATTTAAGGAAATACTAGACCCACCCGGAATGTGTTCTAGAACACGTCGTACAAATCATATAGACATATCATATGATGAATGTAAGTGCATCAAACCCTGCTACCTTTATATTAGAGTAGGCAGGTAGCTCTAGTGACTGAATTAAGCTAGCGATTGATGAAGGAAATGCAATGCTTGACCCATGATAAACAAGACATGTCACATTATGACAGAGTGAACACAAGTGAAATGAATAAACCATTTTGAATCAAAACATGAAACAATGATGAATAATGTACCCGTAGTTGTGAAGTTTAATTACGATCAGTCAATGTATGTCAAAAACATGGTTCTAGAACAGCATTTGTGACCCCATTATATATATATATCTGGTTCCAGAATGGCAGAAATGCTTGTTTTTGATGAATTTTTAACATTGAAATGGCCGTCATTCGACAAAGATATACAATACCTCGGTTATTCCCTGAGATAATAATAGCAAAATGCAATATTCCAATGTCACAGGTGTGTTTCAAACTATGTTATACCACGATCGTGACGTCACATTTTGTTGTATTGTGCGGCAATTATAGCTTGAAGAATAGCCGCCAACTTGGACCAGAACACTCAGAAAACGTTTTAAAACCATCTAGAGTGATTTCCAAGCCCAAAACACCTCGATGTTGATAGTTCTCCATTACCTAACCAATTATACTATTATATTAACCCTGGTAACAGGCAATATTCTGACATAGACTAATGAAACGATAAAATAATAACTTTTAAAATAAGAAACATTGTTAGGTCTAGGCTTACCAATGATGTCCCAATAATGATTGAATGCTTTAAAACCTTTACAACATATGTCATACGGGGGCTCTTCGATTGGATTTCTTTCAACACAGAGTTTCGTCAATTTCTTTAGGGAAGTTAACTCGCGAGGAAGGTTGTGAATATCATTGTCCTGTAGATCAAGCACTTCTAATTTGTCTAGAGCTCCTGGAAAACAGAAATAAGAACAATATTACGATAAAATGTTTTATTAACCTTTAAGTTTTAGGTTAATTAAACATGGAAGAAATAGTTCAATATGTGCATGACAGGTTAAAACGTGAATGTCAAGTCAACATATGAGTGAATGTTAGGTCAAAATATAAGGAATAGTTCAACACGTGAGCGCCAGAATAACACATGAATGTCAGTTCTCATGTGAGTGTAATGTCAACTTGTCAGTGCAAGCTTCACATGTAAATGTCATGTCGTGTTAGGGTTAGGGCCATCATGTGAGTGTCGGGTCAGGTCACATGTGAGTGTGAGGTTAAAATATGAACATTTTTTAACAATATTGTCTAATAATAAACTTTACTTGATTGGGAGATGACTTACCTAATTCTGGTGGCAACTTAGTGATTACATTGCCTTTTACATCGAGTAATTCAAGCTTTGTTAGATTGCAAATATTTGAGTCAACGATGGATATTCTAGTCCCGCTTAAGATGAGATGTTGTAAATTTGTGAGCTTGTATAAGGACGGTGGAATATTTTCTAATTTATTTCCGGATACATCTAGTACTTCAAGCTGTGTTAGGTTTCTCATCTCGTCGGGTAAATCAGACAAACGGTTATTCTGTAAATTTAACTTCTTGATATGTCCATATTCACTGATAATACATGGAAGATATTCCAAATTCTGGTTGTTAAGATCCATCTCCTTGTTATCTTTGTTTTTGCTCTTCTCCATCAATTCTAAAAGATATTTTAGAGCAATATAATTTCAGTTATTTATATATCTTGTGTGCATCTATTTTGTGCATTGTTAACTTCGTTAAATATTGTTTTTCAAAATTGAAAACCATCACAGCAAGGAATTATTAAATCCAATTGTTTATATCGGTAACACGCCCGGCTATTGAACTGGGAGGCTTTTAAAGTGAAATCTACACAAAGAATGAACGAACAATGCCCAAATTTGATAAAAAGTTTTACATAATAATAAGTACGAAATAATAATCCTTTGTAATGGAATTATACCTATTATTTGCCAATATCTTTTGAACGCATCAACGCCTTTACTACATATATCCATTGGCGGACACTTTATATCATTGCCACCTATATCAAGAATCTTCAAATTAGTCAGATCCTTTATTTCACGTGGTAGGGTACTGAGACAGTTTTCACTTACGTCCAGTGTCTCCAATCTTTGTAGTGACCCTAGACAAATTGAAAAGCCACAGACAAATAATATTAGTACTGTGCGGTTATATATCTGCCATATACAGTCGACAAAAACTATACTTTTTTAGCTTTTCAAAATAAAATTGTCTAATTTTATTGATTTCTCATTTAAAACAACTTACCGATATTTGGGGGAATAAGGGATATTTGGTTTCCACGTATGTCAAGATGACTCAGGTTCGACAGATCAAACAAAGAAGAGGGAATTTCTTTTAATTTATTGTGAGACAAGTCAAGAATTTCTAACTGTGTCAGTTCTGAGATCGTTTCTGGTAACTCCGACAGTTTATTGCCTCCGAGAATTATCTTCTTGATATGTCTATACTCTCCAACTGAAGCAGGGAGGCAGATAAATCCATTACCGCTAAGATTCATTTCGTCCAGTGAGGTGTCCTTGTATTTCTCCAGCATTCCTACAAAAAGGTAAGTGTAAAGTAATTTACATATCCCATGATTCCAGTGTAACACTTCAAATTTAAATCGTTCCAGTAGAATGATAATAATCAATGTATGCTGTGGCTTGTATTATGTTACTTAGTGTATGATTTGAAAGTGTAGTTCTTCTGTTGTATATTTTGAAATACCACTCTCAAACCAAGTTAAAAACATAAAATGTGTCAAAGTGAGTTGTTTTTGCTAACAAATAGATATCCTATCAGCACTCTATACACATTATGTTGAGACTTCTGTTATCAATTAGACAGTACTGTCTACAATGTAACTTTATTCAGTGTCTTTTGCTTACTAATCTATGTTATATAATATTTACCTATTATTTGCCAGTATTGTTTGAATTCTGGGACACCTTTCTCACATATAGTCAAAGGAGGTTCTTCGATTGGGTTACCGCCAACTTGTAGCGTCTCCAGTATTGGTAGTTCAGCCAACTCTCTAATTAGGCGCATAACTTTGTTGCCATTTAAGTCTAGTGTTTGTAACTTACGTAGGCGTTCTGAAATAACACAATGCATGTGACGTCTATTATGATATTTACGAGTCATGACAGTATGGTTCACATAAGAAAACATTTATCAAAACTTACTGATATCCGGGGATATGTTGTGTATGACATTGCCATTCAGGTTTAGATAAGTTAGGTTAGTTAGCTGAAGTACGCAGCGTGGAATCTCATCTAATTTATTACATGATAGGTCCAATTCGTCAAGCTCCTCACTCATGTATTTCATTTCATCTGGTAATGTCGTCAGCTCGTTCCCACTAAGTCGCAGTTTCTTTATATGCTTATAGTCTCCAATACAATTAGGCAGATAGAATAGACGTCGACCAGTGAAGTTCATCTCTACACGGGATTCGTCTTGGTACTCTTCTAACATTTCTGAAAATACAATCACAGGTAATTATAAATTCTATAGTTAATTCAATAGTTCAATGCTAAAAACACACGTGTGCATTTATAATTTGCATATATTATTGTAATTAACACATACCTATAATTTGCCAATATTGCCTAAAATCCGCAACACTGCCACATTTATCCATTGGTGGTTCTGTAATTGAGTTGCCATCAATTATCAATTCTTTTAACTTCGATAACTTTTTCAACTCACGCGGGATTGACGTGATGTGATTTCCTGTTAAATCCAGCACTTCTAAGTTGGAAACGTTCCCTGAAAAAGGTTGCAAGCATGTTTTATATGGCTTCTACATGAAACAAATAGAACACCATCTCCCATATGAAACATACACTCTTATATTTTAGCTTACATTGTCCTTCTAGTCACAGTAAGACTATACGCTATATCAAGCTGTTATTTTAGGGAGTGCGCGCGTTTGAATCTCATGTTTCCTTTTTATATGTCCGTACATGTGCCTGTAATTTTGTTCTTACCGAGTTCAGGTGGAAGGAATTCTATTCCAATCCTTCTCATTTCAAGTGACGTCAGTTCGGTCATCTCACCCATTGCAAGTGGAAGCACCCCGATATTATTTCCCGATATATTTAACTTTTGTAAATGACTAAGACTGCATATTTCATTTGGTAATGACGTCATTGCATTTTCACTTAGATCCAGCACACTAAGTCTGGTCAATTTCATCAAAGATGGCGGAAAATGAACTAACTTATTACAAGATAAGTCAATTTCTTGTAGTTGCTCCATGTCTTTCACTTCATCTGGCAATGTAGACAAATTATTACCACTTAGCCTTATCTTCTTTATATGTCCGTATTGCCCAATTGTAGCAGGAATATAGGTCAGGCCCTTATCCCTTAGGTCAATCTCAATACAAGTGGTATCTTTGTATTTCTCTAATATTTCTATAATAGAGATATTACAACAAAAATATTAAACATTGTATAAGAATAATATGTCGTGTTGTCCTTACACAACACCAAGATGAAACACTATATTTATATAAATATTAGGTTCTCTCGTGTGTGAATGTAATTGTTCATTTCCTTATAATTGATACTTGAATATTATGAGTACAACTTACCTACAAGTTCCCAATATCGCCTAAATTCTTCAACGCCAGAACATCTGTCTGGAGGGGGGTCTTCAATAGGGTTGTTCTTGACGAGGAGATCCTCCAATAGTTCAATGTCCTTCAACTGTCTTGGTAAAACACGAATATTGTTGTCTTGTAAATCCAATACTTTCAATTCCTTGAGATTCCCTGGGACAAGAATCGACGTGTATTTAATAATTATTAACACAATTTATTTTAATTTGCATGTAATCAAATATTTAGTAAATTCATCAAAAAGTTGTATAGTTTAAACAGAGAGAATATTAACTGACCCAAAGATGTTGGTACTTGTAACATGCTGTTATTGGAGAGTTCTAAACTCTGCAAAGATAACAGCTCACTTATTTCGTCTGGAACTGAACTAAGATCATTTCCCTTCATCTGTAAACATTTCAACTGAGAAAGTTTCCCGATCTTTGATGACATACTCTTGATGTTATTATCATTGAGGTTAAGTAGAACTAGATTGACTAATTCATATACACACATAGGAATCTCTTTCAATTCATTCCCAGAAACGCTGAGCTCTTCCAACTGTGTCAGACTTTTTATGTCAGGAAATGTCGTCAACTTGTTGTCATCGAGACGAATTTTTGTCACGTGATTATATTCGCAAATTCCAGTTCCAATGTAGGTAAACCCATGCCCACTTAGATCCATCAAGTCATGAGATTCATCTTGGTAGTGTTCCATTAATTCTAGAATATAAGTTGATTTCAAGTTTCAGCGATGTTTGTCAAGAACACTCACAGTTATTCTACATACAATAAAAACACCTTGGAATGCAAAGTTAGTTACCACATACAATACAGACACCTTGGTATGCAAAGTTCGATACAACATACAATACAGACACCTTGGTATGCAAAGTTCGTTACCACATACAATACAGACACATTGGTATGCAATGTTCGTTACCACATGCAATACAGACACGTTGGTATGCAAAGTTCGTTACCACATACAATAAAGACACCTTGGTATGCAAAGTTTGTTACCACATACAATACAGACACCTTGGTATGCAAAATTCGTTACCACATACAACAAAGACACATTGGTATGCAAAGTTCGTTACCACATACAATACAGACACCTTGGTATGCAATGTTCGTTACCACATACAATACAGACACCTTGGTATGCAAAGTTCGTTACCACATACAATACAGACACCTTGGTATGCAAAGTTCGTTACCACATACGATATAGACACCTTGGTATGTCATGTTCGTTACCACATACAATACAGACACCTTGGTATGCAAAGTTCGTTACTACATACAATACAGACACCTTGGTATGCAAAGTCCGTTACCACATGCAATACAGACACTTTGGTATGCAAAGTTCGTTACCACATACAATACAGACACCTTGGTATGCAATGTTCGTTACCACATACAATATAGACACCTTGGTATGTAATGTTCGTTACCACATACAATACTGACACCTTGGTATGCAAAGTCCGTTACCACATGCAGTAC